GCTAACCACAGTCCCGCCTGCCTCTGAGCCTCCATCCTGTATCTATGAAGTGAAGCCTGGACTAGATCACGGATGGCAAATACACGGGTCATGTACTACCACTTACATCCCCATGTTCATGGCAGACATTGCCAGTCGGTATCTGCTGAGCCTGGACGTGGCTTCTGCATCATTCCCAGCACCGTGTTCTAGCAAGACACCACTAACCAGTCAGAGCCGCTGTCTGAATAGAAACACTGCCTGCTTTTGAGACAAGATGGCTAGAGTTTCTCTTTCTCCCTCCATCATCTCCCTCCTTTTCCTTGGTCTCTATTGCCTCTTCTTCCTGTAGGCAATCAGACATGTATCTGACTGCCATGGAAGAACACCAGGATCTGGAAGCAGCAAGCCCAGGTTTAGACCCTGATTGTAGCCCACAGCTGAGAACTCTGGGGAAGTCATTCACCTTTCCGAGTCTCACTTTCCCAATTAGCCCTGCCCCCTCTGCAGAAAGGCTACGATCAAAATGAAAGTAAGCTGGATGTCTAAAAACAATCACTGGAATTTAAAACAAAACAAGAACAAAAACAGCCTGTACTCAATGCTCCCGTCTTCATGACCCCTGCCCTCCTGCAACTCCCCAGCTCTGGACCTAGAAATCCTCATTGGACGGTACCTCCCTTAGAACCACCTTAGGGCCAAGGAGCTGGGGGCCCACCCAGACCAGCAGGCCTGGCCAAACCAAGCCGAGTCTGCCAGATGTGAAGACCAACTGACTTAAGCTGCATGGAAAAAAAAAAAAAAAATGCCACTGCTTGATTATGTAAAATCCATCTGGATCCAAAGCAGAAAATCCAAGTTGGAAAGGCCCTCAGAGACCATCTGGTCCACCCAGCTTCATCTACTAGTGACGAAACTGGGGCCCAGAGACGGGGAGCACCTCGCCCAACGTCACTCAGCAAGTATGTGGACAAGTGGGGGACCAGAACAGGTGTCCTGAGACAACAGTCCTTTGTATCCTTCCCCACTGTAGAATACCACCTCTGGACACTCCAAGCCTGGTCAGAATGAGGATCCAGACCTTTAGGGCTGGCTGGGCTCCACTGCTGGTAACATGAGCAACAGAAATAAACTCAGTTCAAACATCTCCCGGGTCCCTAGCGCATGCCAGCCGCTCGCGATACGAAGATCAAGGCCGTCTTTTTACAAGAAAAGCACAGAACCAGAACACCCTTGGTAAGTTCTTCCATAACCCGAAGAAAACCAAAACAGTCCCCAATACTGTGAGGTATGGTCAGGTTGGGTCCCAGACCACCTCTCTGCCAGCCCTGAACTTGCTACCATAGACACCTCATGCCACAGGACCAGCGCATCGTCCACCTGAGAAACCTCAACACCAAATAAGAAAAAGCAAACAGATGGAACCTAGTATGTGGATGGCCAAGCCTTCTGACCCCTGGAGTAGCCTTGCAGCCTGGCAACCTAAAAAAGCCCCCCTGTGTTCGGAGGGGCTGGGACAGGGGTGGACAGCTGCTCCCTCCCACCTACCCAGAGGCCCCACGGCTTCTATATTTAGCACCAACTAGGGGCAGAGTCCTGATCTGAAAACTGGGCTGGCCACCTTGGGACAGGATCTGGTCAAAGCTGGATCAGCCAACCCAGGCTGGCTCCTTGGGACAAAGCCCCCCTGCATCAGAGCTGCCTGCCCAGACCGTGGGCAAAGCAGGGGAAGAAGTGCAAATTGTTGGCAGCAGATAAAACCCGATACCATCTCGATTTCCCTTCTAATATCAGAGTGGCTGCCTGCAAGATGAGCAAGGGGCAGGGCCAGCAATCAATAGCTAATATTCGCATTGCGTCCTGGCCTACTCCGGAAATGGGCAGTCACCACCGCCTTCCCGAGAGATACCCTTTCCCCTCAGCAGTGACCTAGCCTGAGTACTTCAGCATCACAACCAGGAAGTGCCCGTCTGCTTCATCTTCCTCTGCCCGATTAAACATGATGCCCTCACCTGAGGGCGGGGAGAACAAAGCCGGCCAGAGCCACCCCAGCAACGGACAGTCTGGGGCACACAGGTCCCTGCTCAATGCTGTCCCCCCGCCCGCCTCAGCCCCTGCCAACTCATCCTGATTAGGGATCAGAAAAGACCTCCGGTCGAGAGGATCCAAAAGCGACCTCTGTTTGATGGTGCCTGGAAGTGGCCAAATAAGGACAGGAATCAGTCTGGACTTTCTGACCACACACCCCTGAACGTCACAGGGGAGGGCCCAAGAAGTATGTCTGGAATTAGGCTTTAACCATGGACAATTATACCAAAGCAGGAAGTTAAGAGCTGCCCACATATCAGGCAAACTTTGCCTTGCCCCAGACTCAGGCCAAAATAGAAGCCAATGGCCTATTTAAAAAATACAGCTGGCTATTGTCCACTTCTTCCCACCACAGTGGCCTGCACTGGGCACTCAGATGCCAGCAGGCAGCCTCAATAGGCATGCACACAGGTGGAGCCTGGCGCCTGGGGCTCCGTCCACCAGACAGGAAAGTCACAAGTGCACTGTATCAAGGGTATCATGTGGGAGGATGTGTAAGCCTGGGAAAAGAGGTCCCCAAGCAGAACAGAACACCTGTAAGAAAGACCTCCAACTAGGAAGAGAACATCTGCCTGCAGTGACCAGGACGAGGACTGTCCCTTGGCATGGATGACTGTAGTCCCTTGGGTTTCCCCTCTGGAGAAAGGGCAGCAGCCCACCTGGCTTCTTTCTTTCTTGGGTCCGCACGTTTCTAAGCATTTCAACGTCTCATTCCAAAGTCTGGCCCCTCTTCCTGATGCCTTACCCCCAGCCAAGCCCCAGGCGATGCCTGGTCTGGGCTAACCTGGAGTCTGCACACCCATTTCTGAGGCTGTACCCATTTCCACCCCAGGGCAAGGCTCTGGTTTGGGCAACATGCTAGGAATGTACATAGATGCATGTGTGACCATCCAAAGCCCTCAACCGCCATCCCGACATCCCTCGCACCTCCCTCACCGCCATCTTGGTGGACAACCCACTCTTGCCGTTTTATGGGCAACACCCAAATTTCGCTGATTCCCGTCCTGGCTGGTGAGCAGTACGTCCAAACCCTTCTTCTCTCCCGGGGGTCAAGAGCAACCGAAATGTGAAATCTTACAAAGCAGAAGTGGTTTGTCCAGGCCGTCTCCCACCCAGGGAGAAAGTCCCCTTAACATCTCTAAGAGGGGTTTGTCCCCCCTTTTGCTCAGATGCCTTCATAGCAGGAGGCTCCACTTGCAGCAGCCTGCGTCTCATCGCTAGATGCACAAGGTGTGAGATTCTGGCTTACACCAAGCAAAAGTCTCCTTGGACTTTGCCTCGGGGCTCCCAGCTTTGAATTCTTGGGCTTCACGGAGAGATCTCGGCCTTCTTTTCTATATGACAGCTCCTTCCATATTCTTCTCTGAAAGCGCTAGCCTTTCAAAGGGGTGGGGGGGACAAAGGCAGATTCTCAAATCCAGCCACAGACAGGTTTCAAAGAATGAAATGTTCCACTCAAGAGCTTCATCAAAGGGGCGCCTGGGTGGCTCAGTCGGTTAAGCGTCCGACACTTGGTTTTAGCTCTCAGGTCACGATCTCACGGTTGGTGGGTTCGAGCCCAGCACTGGGGTCTGCGCTGGCAGTGCGACGCCTGCTTGGGATTCTCTCTCTCCTTCTCTCTCTGCCCCTCCCCCATTTGCTCTCTCTCAAAATAAATAAATGAACAAATAAAAAAAGAGCTTAAAGCAGTTCCTTCCAGCCCTGCACGCCAGTACCTCTCCG